ATGGGGTACAGGTATCAACAGAAAGAGCACCATGGAAACACTCGTCTGCTGACGGATTTCACTGTCTGTCTTATGCTATGCCATTTGCTTTTAAGAAATATTTATGAGTTACCAGCTCTCCTTCCAAAAATTAAACACTTGGAGCCTATTATTAGTTGATATTATCTATTTAATTAATTAGATTCCCTCCAGCTAAATACTCTACAGTAAGATATCACTTATTAAAACTATTCTAAAATCAACATGACCACTACAATAATTCACATTGCAGAAACACAAACAACTTTCAAAAAATAGATTAATTCTTCTGCTTATGCCTCAACACTTACAACAACAGTCCCTGACTATCTGCATCTCAGACTTTGCACATCTGTCAGTTTATTAAGAAAGGGGCTTTAAACAGTCATATTTATTTTATTTTAACACACTAAGGATTATTTTTGCAGCAGTTTTTTTTTTTAATGTCTGCCTATGAAGAACAAAACATGCATAGCACAGAATAAACTGCAGCCACAATTTTCAGGCATCAAGTCACTGATCTCAGAAGCTGCATATTAAGCAATCCTGAACTTGTAATTTTCTAAATTGTCTAAGATAACTTCTGTAAATTCCATAACACTTAAAGCATTTAATTAACACACCTAATGTTGATTATCTTGCTAGAATTGCTTGTATCAATGGAAAACTCTTTTGCAGTGGAGTTCTTTTTTAAATTATAAAAATGACAACCTTACAGATAGGCAAAATTTATTAGCAGACAATTGCCAAAAGTGTGGGGATTTTGTGTTTTTTTTCTCTATAAGCCGTGTATATTTAGGCATTTTTTTTTTTTTTTTTTTTTTTCTTGAAGAGTAGACGTTCTCTCTATAAGCCCTGTATATTTAGGCACTATGAAGCAAATATCTTTTAAAATGAATATATCCAATCTCATCCTAAAAGGTTCAGCATGATATTGAAAATCTTTTCTATTTGTATATCAACACTAAGGTTCCAGGGGTTTGAAAATGATCTCAAGTCATTCCATGTAATAGCCATACAAGCTGCAAAATTATTGTTTTCAAGTCAAGCCCAGTGACGGTATGAGATGCTTTTCAGCAATTCAGCCAGCAAAAGCCACAGTTCTTGCTCAAGCGGAGAAGCCACTGGATGGAAAAAAAGCACAGTGGTCAATGGCCTTCTTTGAGGATTTAAAGAAAGAAAGAAAGGACGGACCAAAGATTGTTGCCACCTCTTGCAAACTGCGACCACCACCACCAGCCACAAACAGAGACACCAAGCAAACTCCAAAGCCACAACAAAAGCTGTTAAACTGGGTGGAAACACCAATACCTGAGTCCCTTCTTAGGCAAAGTGTTCCTATCAAGATGTGGGTCGCTGCAGAAAAGTTAAAAGAAAAGAACTTCAGAGAAGAACAAAAGGGAAGGAACAAGATCAGGACGAAGAAGGACGGACAAACATCTGCACACCTTTTCAGAGGAAAAGGTGCTGGGGCCTTCCTACAGAAACATGCAAAAACCTCCTTACCCAGGCGTGGATTTGCACAAACATGCATCTGGTACCATGCCAATGAACCTCATCTGTTCACTATGTGGGTTTGCTATTTCTCCTACCCACAATGAACAAAAATGGCTCTTTAAACGTCAAATGGATGCTTAAAAATACGCTTTTCAGCGGGCATGAGGTAGACTGAAAACTGATGAGAATCTTCAAGTCCAAACCACCTTCCCATTATTTATTTCAGCAGACACCATTTTGGGAAGGCAGCCAATTACTGTTACGGAGCTGCAACGTAAAGCAGTAAAAGTATTGAGCCCAGACTGTCTAAATTTTCAAATCTTAGCTCAAATTCCATTAGCAAAGTAAAATGAAATTATTAGCCATCCAAAACTCAAATATTTATGTTTTTACAACTCATGAACTTGTAACTGAGTGGAGTCTGTTAATTTGTTTTTAAAGAAAATATCCATGTGCTTAAATTAATTCATTTAATGACAATCCTTATAGCTAAATTATAGCGTGGGAGGGGCTAAAATTACAGCAGTTAGCAAAAATGAGCTACAATATTTGGATTCGGGTCATCTTTTCCCAACTTTTGCATTTGTTTTCATAAGGATGGATGTACCCAAGTCCCTGCAAAACACTCACGAGCCAAACTGCACTAAAAGACTGATGACACTGAATGACACGGGGACTTCACGACAAAAAGGACAGGCCTGAAAGGCTGTGGGAAAAGCAGCATGCCAGAGGAATGCTGAAATGCTAGTGAGAGTTTAGATTAGTAGAAAAAAAAGGTCAAGATTTTCAAATTGCCTTTGGTGAAGAAATGAGAGGGGGGAAAAAAAATACCCCCACAAACCAAAAGATATTCCCAGTAACAAGAGCAACACCGAAACCACGCCAGCTCTGCCGTATGCCATTCTCCAGATTGATTTAGGTAGGTAGATGGGGTGTTTGAGGGGACTCTCACTGGCATGTCTTTGTGTCGGCTCACACCTGGACGATGAACACAGCAGAGGACTCAACCGAGCACAGTCTCACAACACAATTTGCTTCACCAAGATTGGCAACAAAACCTACAGCCTTTTGCGTACTCCTGTCCTGAGACAGCATTACCTGTCCTGTCTCCTGGGCAAAGTATTTCGGCAGAATTTGGGGCTAGCAGCAGGGGAAGAAAGAGGGCTAGAAGAATCAGTCCAACGAGACAGAAAACAAGAGAAGGAATATTAGAATGAAAAGAGGAGAGAACAGAAAGGAGTTATAATAAAACACAAACAGAAACCCGAACCATCAGAACATTATATTCAATGGCACTTTTCTCCATTGAGATGCAACTACAAAAACTTTGCTGCCTGACTACACGATTACACATCAGGATAGAGCTGATTTCCAGTGCTTGCAGGGGTACTACCATCTTCTACACAAGGTCCCTCAGAGAGCATGCACTGCAAGTCATTGTCTGGTTTATCCCGATGTTAGCTCCATGGGCCGTTAACACGGCTCTGATGCTGAACAAGGAGTCCCGTTCCCTCCTCCCAGCTCCTACTCTGTGTCCACAGATACCGATGAATCTCATCGTGTAAAGAGTTGGGAACTGATCAGTCTGAAATACAATTCAGGTGATCATTTTTCAGTTGGATCCATCATCCAGTCAGGTTTACTGCGCATTCACACAAACGCCTGTACCGAAACAGCGTAGATTGCAGCTGGAGATGGGACAGGGCACCAGGGAGAGGCTGAGGAGGGATCAAGTGACTAGGGAGACAGGGACGTCCCTTTTCAGCATGACCTCCAGTTTGTCAAATGTTATAAACAAGAAGTTTAACAAGGAACAGTTGGCTTCTCAAATCAAAATGATAATAATGATGGAGGTTTTTCTGAATATCACTATCACATCGACTAACAGGAGATTTTTTTGAACGATAATATATGATGCAAAATGCAAATATTAGGTATAACATGGTAGGTAAGAAAAGTTGTCACACTGGCTACCAGAGCATATTAAAAACCCATCCTTTTGCTCTGAGTTGGGCTCCTTGCCTCAAATGGCTTCTCTGTATGTTCTAGTAATACCATTTGGTATTATCTAGTCAGAAGCACAACTTGGTTTGTATCTGTATCATTGGCTAGAGCTGCCAGGACCTCACATTTGAGACACATACAAGCTTAACGGAAACGAGAGCAAAACCTACTCACCTTTCAGACAATGTAGTCTTAACACTGTTGGTTCGGACAAAGGGAGTCAGAGAATCATCTTTAGAAGCTGGAATCAAGCCACTGGAAGAGTTATGGCTCAGCCCACCTCCACTGCTCAGAGAGATGTCAATGGACTCACAGCTGGTGTGAAGACTGCTGACGGACTGGTACCCAATGCCATCCTTGCTAACAGCGGAGGAGCTACTTGCGTTGGTGCCCCACGTTAAACTGTTGGAAGGAGCTGAATGTGCTGAACTGGGACTAGAAGCTAGGGGAGATTGGTTCATATCCGTGTTTTTACTATACAGAGGACTGCTGCCCCCACTGCTCAGCATCCCACTGCCAGATGGAGAATCAAGATTACCCTGCTGGTTCATAGTAGCGTGAGGATTGGAGATGACTACTGAATTTTTCATATTTTCAGCTGTTGTGATGGGAACTTGTTTACTAGGTTTGCCACCAAAAAGTCTGTAAAAAAAGACAATATGAAAAATAGATAAAATGGAATATTAAACGCAAGGATATTTTATATCTAAGACCGCATACCATCTTAGCTTCAGAAAACCAGTGTTAAGCAAATGATCCTAGCTGGGACACAGACAACCATAAATTTATGAATCTCCTTGTGTTCACACAGCCTTCAATAAAGTCCAGAGACAATCACAATAGCTTCAAATCTATCTTAGGTGTTGCTTCTCTGAAACATCAAATAATACTTTCACAAAGCTAAAACACAGCCCTATTATCTTCTGCTCCTTAAGGAAAAAGGATACCAGGGAAACACTGCATTGATTAATCCAAAGTGTGGAATATCAGAGGTTGAAAGCTTGTTCAGGTGAATTCTGTGCACATCACCAAATGCTCTGCACAGAAGCAGCATTTGCTGGGATGTAACAGGAAAAATATTTACTGGTATCAAATGTAGGTTTGTCTCATTTCGGGAGCCAAGCTGGCTGGAAGCCTTTTTTTTGGAGTGCAGAATGATATTTTACCTGGTTTGGCATCTGGAACTGGCTCAGTAAAAGACTAGCTGAGTGCCAGAACCAGTGCAAGGGAGGGGATACAAAAGCCCAGCTGGAGGAGGATGACTGCAGCTCCTCCAACTGGCATCACCACCATTGCCTGTGATGCAACGGCACTGTCAACAAAGAAGAGATTTTAGTTCCCTCATTAACAGTCAGTGGGAAATGTTCTCTGAAGTGCAGAAGTGTCTTAGAAGTAAACATGTTTAAGACCAGATTATCAATCATTCTAAAACCAACCCTCAAAACCATGAAGGAAGCGTAGGTTTTGACTCGAGCTTCAAACGTCCATCCCAAGATGTTTCTTCTATTCTGCCACTTAGCTCCTGTAACTGCCTTCAGAACCTGAGTTTTCCTCACAGCTATCTATAGGGATTTGTATTTTCTTATCAAAGGTGTGGAGTACTGGCGATGAAATCTTTCAGAGCAGGTATCTATCAGACTGCAGTCCTCACAATAGAAGACTACAGCCCTCCTACACAAGAGCTCCTAAAGACTTACAGCTCCTGGGCAAGGTGCCTGGAACACTTCTCAACTGAATGGTTGCTGTTGTACACTTGCCACAAAGCAACTGGACAACTCTGCTGGATCAGGCTAAGATGCCCACCTACATCTGTCTCATAATCCAGCATCGCTTTAATACGTGTGCCATGATCCCCTCAGTCCCTGATGTAGAGAGACCACTGGAGTCATCCACAAACCAGCACAGGTCTGAAAGACTCTGTTCACCTGGGCTCCACATCACACCTCACTGATTACGAGGCATTGACTTAGACACGCAAAAGCCTTCAAACGATAAAACCCATTCCTACAGGGCTTTAGAGACTTTTTAGGTTTTATTTAGAGTTAAGGTTGTGGCCTTCAGCAGCAATACTTTTTCTCTGCCACCGCACACCACCTCTTCAGGTGTACTGGGGAACTGTACGCTTAGAGGGAAGATCCTGGAGCTTAAAAAAACCCAAACCACCCACACAACAGTTTTACAAGCTGTTTCTAAGCTACGCAGTCTTCCCCAAACTGTTTCACAGCACCTCTAACACAACTGAAAGGATGCTGCAGTGCTGTTGCTGCCAAAGGCAGTGTCTGGTTGAACCACAACCGTGTAACAAACGCCTTCAGAAGAGGATGTGGTCTGGAGAGCATTTCTCTCAGTCCAGAGAAAATCCAAATCCAGCAAGACAGTCACATCAATACAGAGATCAACTCTGAAAGGACATGCCCTAAAAGGAAGGACATCTGTTTGCCCCTTTCTACTATTATTGACACGGGACTGATGTATCTGAGCTGGCTCTTGGGTTACGCACGTCTCCCATTAACAGAACAGCAGTGTGTTATACACTGCAAAGCACGAATGCCCAACTTAATAATAAAATGCATCAAGACAAACAATGGTTTCACTTAAGGGACATGCCAGGTATGTAATACTGGAGCTAAAGGGAATACTGAGAGACCAGAGACAGTGACTGCCCTCATCGCAGAATTATAGAATTTCACTGTTTATGACAGCATAGAAGTTATGTATGCTCGCAGACTTATAGATAAATCTATATTATTACAAAGGTTTCTAATTTATTGTATAATAATAACTTGGTTCTAATTTATTGCAGAATATTAAAAAAATAAAGGTCCAAAAGGAAATATGCAAAAAAGAATGTATGCAACTCATCTCAACTGACTGCGAAAATTAAGCTCAAAATCTTTTTAACTGTCATCCTAGAAATCAGTAGTAAGACAAGGCCAAATTTAACTCTGACATATTTCAATACATGACTACTTACACAGTCTGGTAAAAATTCAAGAGTGCAATTGTAAATCAAAATAGGGGAACAATTAAACTGAGCCTCAGTGTCCTCTCTTTGTCATGTATTGCTAACGTAGTATTTCAATTACATGGCTAACCATGTGGCTTTCTAATAATAAAAAAAAAATTCCAATCAAATGTCAAGCTTATTGTGCCTGAGGCTTGCAACACTTGAAAGTCTGCATTTCCCATGAGGTATGCTATAGAAATGAAAGGTATATTGGAATTTTTATTTTGAAGTAGCCATTGAGGAAAATTAGATGTTCTAAAGAACATGGCTTATCTAATGATAACCAGGAGTAAAATAAAGGAATTCTCTTGAATTATCCTCACATAGGCTCTTCCAATAAAACCACCCATCTAAAAAGAAACCATTTACAACTCTTCACAGCGTTAGCGTAAGCTGCCATCACAGCCACTATGCTTGCACTGGTGCTTCAGATGGAATGGGGCTCTCTCACATCACTGGAAGCAGGATGATGTAGCGTAACTGTATGGGTACTATGGGCGTCAAGACAAAATGAAATGCAAAACACCGCAAATTGAAACAGACAAGCTACTCAATGTCAAATTAAATTGAAAAACAATATTAACAGAACATTTCACCAATATCAAGTCTTTGATGCACACTGCATCAAGAAATTAATTCCTGACCAGCTCAATGTTCATGTTAAAATAATGCGTGGGGTAGTGGCCGAGAAATAGAAGACAAATAAGATTTTAGATTAAAAAAAATACTATAAAAGTAAGAAAATTCAACCCAGCTTAGACAGTAACTTTACTTAGGGTTCTTCTACACAGTCGAATAATCTGATGTTATGAGTCTCGCAATACACTGGCCTAATCCACACAACTGAAAGATTGGTTTGGGTTTGGCATGGGAATCTATGTACGGTGGGACAAAAACCTGAAATAACTCTCCTGTTGTCAATTTATAATTTGATCTGCCATTAGAGTATATTTCCAGGCTTGTTGCACATACATTGGTGCAAGAACTCTTCAGTAACCTTCATGTAACAAAATTCTTATTCCTGCAATATCTGCATGGATAAAGCCTTTAGGTGTGATTTTTGTAACAAACAGACTCTCATCACAATTGCCAAACTTTCTGCCAGACAGGTTTTTTTTCCCAAATGTTAAAATTTTGTCTGCTGTCATGTGATGTACTGAGCATTTACAACACTGGCCAACCTGTTTATGTGAAATTAAATGTAAATACAAAGACCTTGATGTAGGACACTAAATAGTGCTCCACAAAACACAGCCAGGCTGGGCTCGAAGAGTCCTGATCATTGAGCTCCAACTAACATCATTGCACAACCAACGAACTTATTGCCTACCTGCGCAAAGTGGGAGAGGCCACATCGGGGTACTTGGCTCCTTGCTGGTGAGTACTCTGAGCTCCGCTAGAAGCAGTCTGTGATGCAGGGTTCACTTTAACAGAATTACATGAGGCCACGCTTTCGTTGTCAGACGAAATCCCTTTCTCTTTATCAGTCTGATTGACTAATCCTGGCAGAGAGTTCCCAAGGATTACCTTGGCAGGCTCTCTCATTTTAGGGACAGGCAACCCGGCTGACTTGCTGCTTATGTTGGAGTCTATGCTACTTGTGCTAGATCTATTCCCAGCTCCACTTCTGCTACTGGATTTACTGGGCCGGGGTAAACTACGATACTGAAGATTAGTTCGGGCACTAAGTGCTAAGTAGCCATCATCCTGGTTCTGTGAGCCATCAACACTAGTCTTCCGACCAGTGGTCCTACCCATGAGTCCAGATGACTTTGGGATTTTTCCCAGGGTAGCCGATCTACTGGTGATAGTTGCCCCACTGGCAGTGATTATAGTCATGCCTACGGCTGACCCGCTCTGTTTCTTAAATCCAAATGTATTAGCATTAGCAGCAGTTGTCCTAGAGTTACTTGTGGGAAGCTTTTTGGATTCATCACCACTGCTGCGTCCTGCATCTGATGGGGAACGTTTAACATGTCCAGCTTTAGGAGATAGTCTACCCTTTTCTGATACCTTGGCGTCATTCCCTACAAAAATAGAAAAAGAATTCTAATATTTAATGACTTGAAAACATCAAGCAAATGATGAAACTCAAAGCAGCATGAAAAGCAAAAGCGTGTTAGCCACCAGAGTGGGGTTAAACGTTATGATCTAGTCTGCACTAAACTTACATGCCACTCTAGTGAGTTATACATGCAGACTTGCCAGAGAGAGTACGCGGTGTGTTTGCCCTCAAGAATACGAAAAGCAGAACAGTCTTATGTAATAGTGACACATAAGGAAAAAAAAGAAGTTTCCCCCTGTAGCTGCCACAGATTGATCCTTTTTTATCATTAGACAGAAGTTGTGTTAGACCATTAGTCCAATCTTCCTAACAGGCATTGTTCAAGCAAGTGTCTGACTTTGACTTCCTCATGTACAATTGCGTACATGATCAAATAAGAGGAGAGATATTAATTTATATTACTTGATTATGCAAATTCCATCAATTTTCATTCACACATCTGCAAGTCCTAAAATCACTAATACATTTATAAGAAAATCCAGAACTAAATAGTGTTTAGTATAAATTAACATGCTGGTTTAGTATGGGGAGAAAAAAAAAAATTTCAACCAAACATACCCTATGTTCTTAAATTTAACCACGACTTCCAAAGCTGAAATTGTTATTTATTCTTCATATGGCAATACTGTGCCAAAAAAATCGCTTGGCTTAAGACTAGAGTTGTCATGAAAACAACTTGCACAGTGTACTAATCCAAAATATGCATTTTCAAATGAACAGAAATAGAAATGTGGACATACGGGATGCTGCATAGGTTAAAACAATACCTAAAAATAAAGACAGGATTACCTGAAGTTCAGGTTCTGCCTCTGGAAAGTATTTAAACTGTTTTCATACCGAACACACTTTTGGGCTTGTTTATATCTTACACCTTTTCTCACCTGTTCCAGGTGTCTTTAATGTGCCTGAGGTGGTTGAAGGTTTAGTCCTTGGTGTGGTAATGCCAACCTGAGCTGACATGCCTCGTCTCCAGGAGCCTGTCTGTGAAATAACAGTGTTCTTCCTACCAGAAGTGCTTTTATCAGATTCATCTGACACATCAGAGGGATTCCGCCTCCATTTAGATCCTGGCTCCATTTTTATGCCACTATCGGATCCTCCGTCTGATTTCTTGACTTCATCACCGGACCATAAGGAATTCCGCTCAACCTGGGAATGCTTTTCTGCATCAGTCTAGGACAGGGAAAGAATTGCAGTACAACCTTCAGAGCAAGCCTTTCTTTTAAGCAGCTTCATAAATGAGAACCATCAAACCAATTAACAAACTCAGCAGTCATCTGTAAGTACCAACAAACATAACAGGCGTTTGATAACGAAATGCCACAGCAAGAAATGAAACCCAGCAATGACATTTTTTTCAATACACTACGAAAAAAACCCAAAAAAACCGTAACAGCCATGCACCTTAGAATAAATAAAGAAGAAAACCAACCAAAAACCCCCCACTTGATTTATAAAGGACATATTCAGCTCCATGACATTTATAATCCACCATCTCAAATTTCTGATGAACCCTTTCACTGTAATGCCAAAAAACTGTTTCAAACCTGTGCAGCCAGCTTTTCTTTGTTCTTGCTGCTTTCCTATCTCTTGTCTGGCAATCTGATCTCCAGAGCACGAGGAGGCAGCTTTTTGAACAGCTTGGAAGATGCAGAATGCTGTTCATTCTGATCTAACATAGTGGAAGGACACCCAAGAACTGAAGAAAAGTGAATCCCCAACAAGTTTTTAACAATACTCAAGACTGACTTAAATACATAAATTACCTTAGTTTTTAATTTATATTCAACTCTTGCAAACTGTTTTTTTCCCCTATTCATTGCACAGAGTGATTGTGCTGCCAGTCTTTTATGGAGAATTTTGCAAAGTTTAACGTCAAATATAGAATTTTCTCATTAGCAAGCCATTGCCAAATTCTCAGAAATGCTTATTAATCTCTTACCCTATATATATATATATATTCCCCACACATTAGCATTTTCTATTGCTAATGATCACTCTGGCAGAATTCTACTTGTCCTGTCAAGTGCTGCTGATTAATTTGGGCACATTTTGTAACACCACAACCAACTATCTTGCGATCAGGCACAAATGACAAATATCCACCCATTTGACCCTGATCCACATAAAAAATTCATAGTTAAAGTGTTCTGCAACCACCACAGTACCATGAAAGAGACTGACATTTCCACACTTGACCATGAAGCTCCCAAGTAAGAGCTGGTGAATTTTGGTAAGATGTTGAGTGCCATCTCTTCCCTGAGGCCTCAGCAGAAGCTGAATGTGCTCAGCACTGTGCTGTAGTCAAATGGTAACATCACTTAAAAGGAAATTATTTTAAATATCCCCAAAGTGTTATAAAGCCCACAGCCTGTAACCCCCTTTGGATAATGAGAGAAGCACAGCACAGGAAAGGACGCACGATCCTTTACCACGCCTTCAGCAAAATGCTATAGTTTAAGTTCCTAAAGTAAATTTCAAGTTTATGACTTGACTTTTCCCACCAGATCACACCATTAATATTACAGAATCTAGGGGTGTTGGGGTTTAATTTCCTCTGCTTTTTACTGTAATTACTTTTTTTTTAAAATCCTGAAAAACTAGTCTAAGCGCTTTTCCCACCAGATCACACCATTAATATTACAGAATCTAGGGGTGTTGGGGTTTAATTTCCTCTGCTTTTTACTGTAATTACTTTTTTTTTTTTAAATCCTGAAAAACTGGTCTAAGCGATCAGTATGTGAAAGCTGACACCACACAGCACAACGGTCTTTCTTCAGTCATGTGAAAGAGTGAGGGCCTGGGTTATCTGTCTGCATATTGAGTCATCAGACTAACAAGCGTTTGCTGAATTATGGATTTAGATATAATTTTCTTGTACTCTCCATATGTTATGCAAATGTTGTTTCCCTGCGTCTCCATTTAAAGAAAGCAACTCAGCGTAGACTTAATGAAACAGTGCTTTCTAACTTCTTTTCATATAGCTGCAAGGTTTGGGGATGGTCACCTTTCTATTTATGCCCATTAGTAGGTGTGCAAGAAATTCACACTGTGACTGTTTCTATGTCCCATATTTCTCTAAAATCCTCATTTCGTGCAAACGCCTCCTGCGTTTACAGACCTTGTAAGAGCACAGGCGAGAAATAACAAATAATCAACCAACAAAAGCACTTCAACATCATCCCTCACGTGCTCTCATCAGTATCTGGCTTCAAATATCTTGTCTGGAATTGCATATTTACACCGTCAGTGTTCAAGTGCAAGAAATACACTTAATTGCTAGTAAAGGGCTTATTCTAGGTTTTAGTTGACTATGAAACATTCCTGTACCTTCTACTTCCCCTTCTTTACATCTGTAAGAATAGTACAGTCTCAACAGAGAAAACAGCATTACCAGAAGTCCTCTATCTTTGCCCTCTTCTATTTCATTCCACTGCTACACCCACAGCCAAAGTTTTTCCGCAGCCTTTGAAACGCTGCACATCCACCCTTGAAGCCCTCTGGCCAGAGATGTTTCTGTTTAACGGTAAACACTGAGAACAGCACAGAAACATGACTAAGGAATCAAAACCAAAACATGGTGAAACCTTGCTTGGGGATTGCAGCTGAAACTCCACCCGCCCGAAAAGCCTGGAGTGGGTGAAAGTGGAAATATTGTTTGCTGGAGGTCATGGCGAGACACAGTGGACATGAGCTGGGAGCAAAGCCTTCCATCCAATTGAGCTGGGAGTAGCAGCACCACGAGGATTTCTCAACTTATCCCTACAGTTTTGTAAATCTATTCATGAAGCCGTGAACAGACCAAACCCATCTTTGCTCCAATGAAACTGAGAAGTTGTCTTAATCTCTGAAAATCAATTCCTTATCAGACTTTTTTTCTACTGCAAGCATGTCTTCTTCCTTTGCACAGATGGTTCTGTAAGTTGTATTTTATCAGCAGACACGGACACACTAGGGCTCTCTCCCTTGGATGTTGCTGTATTATTTGTCTGGACTCCCAATTGCACATGTGTTAGCTTCAAGCTCCCTCTTTAATTAACTGAAATTCAATTTCTGTACCACCTCAAAAAGATGTGGCAGAATCACAGCAGCTTAAAAGTGAAGTGCCTCCTACTTAGGAGAGCCCCAGCAGCGGATGTCCTGAGGAGAAAAGTCCCCATCCCTCTGCAGACATCTGCTGGTCCTTTGTGGCTCACCACACAGTGGAACGCAAACCTGAGCCCAGGCCATCATCCTGTACTCCAGGTGAGACAGAAAAGGCACGTATGTAGCATTTGCTGTTTTGTGAGCTGGGAGGACTACTTTGGGCAGCAAAAAATCAACCCTGCAAGCTACGCATGGTTCCATCACTCCAAAACTTGGATATTCCGTTCGAATGAAAACAAAGTATTTTATGGATAACCATTTGCAGATAATGGTAATACCTAGAACAAATATTGTCAGCCATGAAAACTGAGGGGAGAAGCAGGTCACAGACACAAATCAAAAACCTTCAAACACAATTTGTACATCTTGGCTCCCAGCTTTCTCTCTGAGTGCCTATGCTCTACTGCCTGTACAAGCTTCAGCTGCTTCTCTCCTGGTGTACGTCTGCACTCTCTTGGATGCTGTAATAGTTGTGGAGGAGGAAGAGGAGTTCGTCAACACAGATTTTGATCTCTCAGAGGTGTTTCCAAGAATCTGATCCATCAGAAGATAGAAGTCAAATGAGTTTCTATTTTTTTTCCGTAGGTTAATGTTTAGTCACGTCTCCTTTTTTCTTCCTTTTTTTTTTTCCCAACAGTATTACAATGTTGAGGCAGTAACAATTGTCAAGAAATACTTCTAGTTGTCTGTGTTACTCTCTCTGTTACACACTGAACAACACACTTCATAGATCTTAACTCCTCTGAACTTGTACAGGACTTGTATTAGCAGTTTCAAGCACACATGCAATGGCTGATACACAACCAGAGGCTAACTGGAAATCTTTCATGTAGGCTCAAATATGCACCTCGTGGCAAGGGAACAAAGAGTAATACATGCTTGCACCACAGTCCTGTAGGCAGAGTAACACTTCACAGCAACCACACGTCTACATTAAAACTGATATTAAAACCAGATTTAGGGTCCAGTCATGAAAAGGACTGGAGAAGAATAAAAGGAAAGCAACAGAGGAGAAGGTCATACCTACAGCCCTCTCCTCTACCTGCCGCAGCGCCAAGCCACAGCATCCCGGTTGCTTTGACACACTACACCCCAGTCCCTAGAGCAGGTGGGTGTACAAAGACCAAGCTGGACTTATAGTCCTATACTTTTCCAAACAAAATTTGGGGAAAAAAAATCAGTTTACATTACCACAAGTCTCTGTACTATTCAGTCTAATTGAGGAATGAGAAACTTGGATACCTTCACTTGTTTTACCCTCTTTGGATGTGTGGTGTCTGAGCACAAAGATCTACATGCATGCTGCTGATGGATGTAAAATTTATCCTCCTATGAAATGCTGCCAAAAATAGAAAGCCTGCAGTAACACTGAGCCCTGGAAGTCTACAATAATCTATTTCATTTGCCTAGCACGCTTACATTTCCGATGGAAGTGTAAATAATCTTTAAACTTTCATGTTGACTTAATTAAATTTTTTTCTTTAAAAAAAAACATAATACCTTCTCTAGAGCTAAAAAAAAAAAAAAAATGCCATCTACTGATGTACGTCTTCTGTACAGCAGCGCTGCTAGGAAGGCAGAAGCCATTTGTTGCCACACCACCACAGCCACGGGTTCCATGACATAGAGGAAATACTGGTAAAATGCCACATATGATAACGTGGTCACTATTGCTTGCCATTGCCTTTTCAGGGACACTGTCCGTACTGAAGGCTGTCTGTTATTGAAGTTCATCCAGCCTTAAACAATTATACCTATTGCACAGAGAAAATAGTAAATATCAATGTTACTTGTCTAAACCAGAAGTCTTACCTGTGCATCTAAGTTTTTGCGGGAGGAGGCAGGTGTGTTGGCATAGGAGCTGATAGAGGAGCTAGTGTTAATGTCATCAGTGCTGAGATTATCTATGGTGTCACTGATCCCGCTGCTGACAGAGCTGCTGTCATCCCAGCTGGAGAAAAAGCACAACAAAGGTAGAAAACAAGGGTCAAAAGACAAAACATCATTCAAAAGGAAAAGTATTATTTCTACAAGCCTTATCCTACTTGTGGTTGCCAAACGAAAACGGTACGCTCCTTCCCCTAACTTATCTTGGTTGCAGCTCAAGTCTAAATTCATACAGCTCATTGTCTATCTAGCTGCCACAAAGCCCAATATATGCCATCGTTAAGCTGGCAGCACCAACGATGCAACTCTTACTGACTCACTGAAAGTTTGTATGAGTAAACAAACTTTACAGTGTCCCTCAAAATCTATGCCTGCAGTCCCAGGTAGGCGTAGCACTGACTTGCTAAGCTGTAATGCAGAGATGGAACTTAAATGCAAGGAAAAAAATCCGTCCTGAAGCAATCTTTTATACCTGGTTGTTACACAGACCTGGGCAACAACTTGCATCTACCATCGACAGCATCACCAGCCTCAGGAATGTTTAGTAATTGAAAGTCTAGTTGTTAAGATGACACAGAACCCTCCCGAGCTGTACAACACATCCTTTTCAAGGAGATCGATTAACAGATTACTGTTTAGGACTACCTTCTTCCAGCGTGTGATAGCTTCAACATTTTCTAGTAAACAAGAAACACAAAACTGGAAGCTTAGGACACACAAAGCACCCACTAAAAAGGTCCATGTCTGAAACGATTTGAGTGTTAGAACAGACAGAATCAAAATGATCTAAAAGTCAAGCCCAGATGCTCCACTCCTAAAACGCCCATAAAAATAAACTACTTGAGGAAGAGATTTATAAACTGGCTTACAAGTGCTCCATCTCAAAGAAAAACAAAGCTGGGATTGAAACACTGCCCTGTAAGGAGCTCTGTGAAGACAGCAGCTTCTCCAGAGGACAGCACCTGTTAACAGATTGAGGTATCTCTATTTCACATTGTTCTTGAAACAACCCCAAGCCCTCCACATAGATTAGTTCATTTTTTACCTTGATCCAGTGCCTTGATGGTTAAAGTCAAAAGCAAGGAAGCAGAATGGGGAATTTAACAGCCCTCCTAATTACGGTGTTGTTGGCTCCCAGAGCCTCGATAACATCTTTGTAATTTAGCTGGTGCAATTAATAATTTCTGATGTCAGCAGAAGTCTACTCAACCATAACCTGAAGCTGAAATGTTTGGGCTTTCCTTCCTCTATTTGATCAATCACCTGAAACTCTACTTTGATTACTGAAAATTACAAAAAAAACCAGAAAATCTTAGAAGTGCATTATAGATGAAAATTATACAACCACCTACTTAAAAACCATCACCACCATCACTTAAAAACTCCCACAAAGCTGCCTCCTGCTCTCCACAAAACCAAGCACCCTAAGCACCCTCCTCTCCCTTCCCCATCTCAGCCTGCTCGCCCTAATGCGGACTAACAACGCTGCTACTATAGATCGCCCACATACAGCACTAAGTCAACTACTCAAAGCAGCTTTTTGGAACAGGTCTGCAAAGCGGTTCGGCTCAGACTTGTATTTTTCCACAGTCTATCAGCACTTTTCCATCTTGCATAATCATCCTCCACGGAATTGGCTTTTCTTTGTCAACTCGGATGGCACACGAAACCATCCTGCAATCCCCAGGACAGCCCCCCCCACTACAGAAATCTCCCTTTGCAAGTCCAAAGCAAAGGAGTCATTAAAGCACTACTAAATAAAGCTATTGTTAACGGCTGAAAATGCATCGCTCTCTACGGATGGGTGTGGATTTTAACTCTGCTGGATCTTCAGTCAAAACCAAAATTACAATGAGCTGCTGAAAAATACATTTGTCCAAGACAGAGCCTTGGGGCTTTACAATATTTCAAGTGGAAACATAGTAATTATCCTCTTCTACCTAAAAATTTAACTATTTATGAGTTGATCGGAGAACAAAAGAAAAAAACAACAAAAAAAAAAGGTCAAGGTGTAAAATGATTGAAACGTCACAGAATCTTCAAAGAATTAAACAGAAAAATAAAAAAGCCAATAAAATGTAAATGTTCCATAAAGCGAGATACTAAATACTACAGTTTCCACTGTTTTCTTCTGGGATTTCCTACAATACTGACATCACTGTGTCAGAAATCCAAAAACCATACAGATATCCTTGCATGGTTTTCCTTTCAAACGGTTACAAAAGGTGACAAATAACTGTTTGCAAATGAATGGGTGGAAATTTACTTTAGGAGAAGTGACTTTAATTAACATACTTTACATGGTTATTAATCACCCACCTTCTCCATGTTTTCAGTTACTCTCCTCCCATTACATCTCATTATAGGTATTTTTAAATAAACCACTTTGTTTCTAACCCAAGGTGGAGCCCAGGGACAGCGCTGTTACCTTGAAACACGTTGTAAAGCCAGACCATGAAAAGTGAAAAGCAAACCCGGCAGAATGAAGAGAGACCATTTCCAGCTGTTCTTTCTGGAGCAGAATCTCCTTCTTTTAAAGCCATTTTTTGGTGCAGTTAACTGCTCAAAGCGTGCTGTGAGCTATTCAGACCATTTTCATCTTTAGTGACTATTCGGTTTACTGCCAACAAGCTGAAATGCAGCTCTCTGTCCAGCTCTGTTTAGAATTCATCCAAGATAACGTTTCAGGACCTACATTTAAAGTATCTCTTTGTAAAGGAAAATAGCTCACAGAATAAAAGTTTCAGTGAGTGTTGAAAAAGGCTGGGTAAGAAAAGATTTGTGGAAGCTAGAAAACTGCACGTGCTCTTTTCATTTCATCTTTTTATATCAGTGCTAATAACCTTATAAAAATAACTCTGGATTTTATTTTCTCCCTTAACATCTGACCAGGAATTTGACCAAGCTGACACAGCTGAGCACACACACATAAGGAGCTGCTAAACCCAGCTAATCTCAAGGAGTTTCCCATTTGAAACACCCTAAAGCTTCACAAAAGCAATCTGACTTTCTATGAAACTCATCATCTCCTGCTATAAAGCAGAAATTCCCATGGCATCTTCTGCATCCGCACATCTTTTTCTCAGAGACCCTTCAGTCCTTCCCTGTCCAGAGTCACTAAATGCAGCAGCCAGCACAACCCTATTCAGTTGTAAAACACTTGACTGGTGGAACTTGTTTTTTGGCCATGGTTCACAACAATGGTTCCTCTGGCATTGCACAGCCCCAGGGGAAGGCACTGTGTTTGACCCAGGTGCTGGAGGAACACAGACTCCCAGCTAGATCTGAAAAATCCAGTGTAAAAAGCTCCAACCAGCTACCGACCCTTTTTTCTTGGACTCACGATCCACAAACCACGTTTTTGGTGTGCACTCACATTTACCGTTCTGTCTGAGGACTTGCTATGTTTATAAAGCAGTTTACAGACCAGCCCTACGCTGGGTGCACAGAGCAGCCCTGGCCAGCTTTGAAGGCCATGGGATGGATGCTTATCCCTGACCATTTCTGTATGACTCCAGTGATTCCAACTGATACACATGGGTGAAAAAAAAATAATCAGTGTCTTCATATCACAATAAAGTCAGCATTAAATCTTAGTTGTTATTATGTTAAAAAATATTTTTTGTTTGTTACACTTTTGTCTCCAAGACAATTAGAAGCGCTGAGAAAAGTCTTCTAGTGAAAGTCAGAAATCCTTGTCTACGCACAAACCCTCAGAAAATAAATCCCTGTGAATGTACAGCCTGCATGCGACAGCGATGGACTGAACAAATCCACAGAGGTCAACCCAAAGCTGCTGGGGATGGAGGACGGACCGCCCCAGGTCCCAGAGGAGCTCCCTGGCAAGGACCGCGGTGTGGATCACCCCCGCTACGTGCCATCTCCTCCTTCTCGCCAAGGCCCAGCCCCAAAACCTCCAAGGTGCCCTGCCCAGGGGCTGGAGAGCGATGATAACCGAACACCACATCACGCCTGCTACTTTTCCCTTGCCTTACTTCACAGTTTGTATTTTCTTCTCCCCCCAAAGCAGATACTTTCGGGATCACATCATCTCCTCGTACAAAGGCACTATTTAAGTGACGACTTAAAGAAGGAGCGGCGCTTGCTGAAAACACAGAGGTGGTTTCTGACGCCCATCTTCCACCTGCACACTCCCCCGGCACTGGGCTGAGCTGGTGAGAGCTCAGCAGCTCCCCAGCAGTTACTGGTACCCAGCAGCCTGCTTCATCAGAGGCTCCAAAACACAATAAAAACGGGCTCAAACACCCAGAACAACACATTAGTTAAATTCTTACAGGACTGATGTAACTAAAACGTGGAAGGAAAGGAATGAAGAGTAGTATGGAAACAAAAATATGCAAAAGGCATTTAAATTCCCTGCTGATGAGTGGGCTTTCAAAAGCCTCCTGGGGCCGGACCCACCTGCCCCTGGGGCCACTTGTCCCCAGCGCCCCCCCCCAGGGTCACTTGCCCTTCAGCTGGGGCCACTCACCCACCTGCTCCCCAGGAACAAATGGCCAACTGGGACCACTGGGCAGCCTCACCCAGGGAAAGGTGGCTACTAAACATACCCACAGAGCCCAAACCTCCAGCAGCTGGCAGGTAGAATACAAATACGGCTCCTTTGCTCCCCAGTCTTGTTTTAATCCCTCCTAACACTGCAACTCCACTAAGTGACTTTAAAAGGTCTGCAGGCTCCAATCCCAACCAAGAAACGTGCAGGCACAAAATGACGCAGTGCTATACACGCATGAAGACTTGAAGCAACTGACAGTCACTGCTGAAGTTCTCCTTACTCGGAATACGCTGTAAAGCTGCTGCAAAAACCCGTGCACAGCAAAACACAGATTTCACATCTGCTCCTCTCACTGCTGCAGCTAAGCACGTGGAGACAAAGGTAACACCCAGGTTTGCACACTCTCTCCCTATCAGAAAAAAGGAGAAAGACACTAAATTTGTCTTTCTGAAAGCATTACAGCCTGCTGACGTATGTCTCAAAAGAAAGCTGGACTTGGCAATAAAAGGTGTTAATTTGATCACAGGGCACAGCACTGTCCCTCAGGA